ATTTTAAAAAAATCCCCCCCCCCCCCCCCCCACGTGTCATTACCACGTGACGGAATATGCGTGAAGCGCATCATTTACACTTTATTGATTGCAAAATAGGGCTGTGTATTCGATATGGTCTTAAGCTTTATTTCTTCTCACTAATTCCAGAAATTAGAAAATGTTTTTGCTGCTTTGAACGAACTGAAAGTCTTAATTGTAAATGAAATGCAAGCTCGTGCTGATAGAAAGGCTGCCAAACAAGCAGACCACGAGGCAAAGAAGACTCAATATGAGAATGATTTGAAGGTTTCGTCTATCTTCAAGACATATGTTAAACAAGAACTTCAGAGCATTTTTGACTCGATGAAGACTGAAGAACAAAAGTTGGCTGAACAATATGATACTTATAAGACAAAAAAAGATAGTTTCAAAGAAACAGTGAAGGTAATAAGAAGTGACATATTGATTTCTCAACTGTATGCCATATAGGATGCCATCAAAGAGGATTGGGATTTCAATGTCAGCGAATTTGTCAATGACAAATTGCAAAAAGTTTTGGATGAGGTTTGTGTGAAAGCTTCACGCATCTCATTATAATAATTTCCTTCCTTTGAAGGAAGCTGTAAAAATCGTATTGAAAGATAAGGTTGAGGAAAAGCTTTTTCCACAAGCAGCAGAACAGAGCGTCGTAAATGTAGCCGGAAGAGCTACCATATTAGATGAGTATGAGTTCCATGTAATTTGTTTTCACATCCTTTAATTTATTTAGAATAACAGGAACTTCCCAATGGCAAACGGTTACCTGGATACTTCTCGTATTAGCTATTATTCTGGCTGTTGCCTTAGTAGCAATGATTTTCTACAATGTGAGTGAAAAACAAAATTTCAATCGATTATACGAAAAATATAGATTTCTCAACGAAACAATTATCAACGTTTGGATGGACATGATGTAGAGAGTCATCCATCAACTGAAAGAACACCGATTGTCTCCAATGTTGTTACTCCTGTTGGATACAACGATGAGAAGGTGAATAACATTACTTCTGACGATGTGCCCCAGACTAACAGAGCAGGTCTTGCTGTTTTATTAACAAAGAAAAACAACTATTAGAAGTCGTGTTCTCTTTTTTCGTTAACTTTTCATTCTCCTTCATCATCACCAACTCTAATAATTCGTTGAAGCTCTACATTTTTTTGATTCAGAAGAAGTCCCTCGTCGGTCTGTCTACACCCATCCCAAGCACATCAGTAACTCCACCAGGACCAAGTGCTCCAACTGGGGAACAGCAGTTCTAAGCTATTTCTTTCTTGCTGTAGCTTCTCTTTACTTTCTGACAATATAATATGAATAAAGGCATTCCCATGTTATGTATATGCAGACGTTCATTGATTTAACTCATGATTTCTGACTTGTCGCTAATAAATGTAAAGTTAATGTTTTCATAAGCGATTAGAGGACAATTCAGGTGAAGTTTTAGGAAATTTCTTCGATTTATTTAGGAACTCAAAGGTTGAAAATACATTTGCAATTCAGTTTATGCAGCAGATCTTGTGGCCGATAACATGGGCGCCTACGTCTTATAGATTTTTAGGCTCCTCCCACTTGCATTAGTATAAATAGCGCTGAGAATGATAAAAAGCTGAAGGTCATCTGTTTCCGCATGATGATGCCTTGGGCATCATCTTCATCTGTTCGCAGATGTGAATTCCTTTTATAAGGAATTCAACTTCGCTCCCATGTGGAGCAGAGAGCCTTCTCACCCCAAAAAACCCAAAAAAATGTGTGTCGTGCAGATGTGAGATCAGCTGTGTAAGTTACATTATCTATCCATATATATAAATAGTTATGAATACATATTTTAGATGTTGAAATATTTCTCTCTCAACTGTTTATTCTTCTATTTACGCAACTGAACATACACGTAACTCACTCACACAGATGCCAATGTTGTTGTTGTCTTGGCATCCATACAGAATTTAGATGGAAAATTCTGATTATTATAATGAGTACCTGATATGTCTAGCAGTTTGATGTTTCTGGAAAATAACAGACTGATGATGATCTTATAAAGAGCACATTGGCCGCTCTTTCAATATATTCATATTACTACCTGATCTTCACATATTGATGTTGTGTTGTGAACCAAAAAAAAAATGAACAAACTGTGCACCTTTATAGCGAAACCGTCCATTTGTTCTTCTTCTTTTCCATTTTTTTTCATGTGAATGTCTTTATTCCGTTTATGTTTGACCGTTCATTTCATGTCTTTTGTGCATTTTATTTTGATTTTGCATTGATGTCATTATTTCTTATTTTGTTTATTGTCTTATTGTTGATTTCATCCCAGTTTGAAGCTACATCTTACCATCCAATTGCGTTAATAAACAACCGCGACGAAAAGATCTCTTCTTCTTCTTCTTCTTCTCTATGTTCAATTAATTTAGTAAGAGAGCTGTAAAAGATAGAGAGAGAGTAGGAGAGAGATAGGAAGGGAACGAGGGAGATAGAGAGGGAGAAATACATTTTCACATGACGAAACACACAAAATATAATTACATATTGAAGTTGTGTGTGATGTATGAATATATTTTAGCTTAAGGCTAAAGAATAAATATTTCCGGCGGAGAATTAGAGTAAATGAATGTAATTTCATTCCCGTTGTTGAGCCTTTTCTCGTGCTTCACTCAAATATTGAACAATTCTGCGGCCAAGGACTATTCGCATGGCTTTATCTCTCGTTTCATATCGCCATCCTTCTGCTTCATCTATTCTGAAAAAAAAGACATTTCAGAGAGAAAAAAAAAGTAAGAGGGAGAAAGATAGAGAGAGAGAGAGAGAGAGAGAGAGAGAGAGAGAGAGAGAGAGAGAGAGAGAGAGGGGGGGGGAGAGAGAGAGAGAGAGAGAGATAGAGAGAGAGAGAGAGAGAGAGAGAGAGAGAGAGAGAGAGAGAGAGAGAGAGAG